TTCTGTTGCAAATAGAGGTTGATGGACACGGTGTTCCCTTCAACAGGGTGGGAGTGAGCTGCCCACGCTAGGTGATGGGTGCACCTGTAGCCTGGGATGGGTGCTGCTCACTGTTCTCCCAGACAGGGGTGCCCGTCACCCTTCTCTCCCGGGGACCTCCGTTTCCTCACGTTCTCGCCAGGGCTGCTGGTCCCCAGACCAGACACCTGCCAGTCTGAGGGTGACCAGTGCTGCCTCCATAGTGTTTCCTTTGCCAGAGTCCTTCCCCGGGAGCTCCTGCATCTCTGACTCCCCCCATGCCTGTCCCCCTCCCCTTGGACTTGCATGCATTTCGTCTCTGTCCCTGTGGAACCCAGTGACTTGGAGCATGGTTTGGACCAGAGGCATGGGAAACCTTTCTGTGGCCTTGGGTTGTCAGCAATGCTTTGGCCCTTTGGGGTGTGTCTTCCAGCTTTCTGCATTTCCCTGGTTTCTCTGTGGGTCACAGGAGGAACCAGCCCTTTCCTGTCTGGGGTCAGGCTGAGGTGTCCCAGCAGGAACAGGGGTCTCCGCCCCGAGATTGTGTCCATATTTACCAAAGGGGGCTCTATGGTTCCATCTCATCTGTAATCCATCAGGGATTTCAACATCAAATAAGGGAAATTCTATGTCAAGTCAACCCAGAAAAGAAGGAGTCCCCTTTGAAAATAGGGGGGCAGACACAAAGGCCCATACTGTGTGATTCCACGTACAGGAAACATCCAGAACAGGTAAAGGAACAGAGAGAGGAAGCAGCTTAGGGGTTTCCAGGGAGGTCTTCTGGTTCGGGGACTCCTTTGGGGAGGCAGATATTCCACAGCCATGTTCTGTGGTGTGGTGGCCCAGCGTTGGGAATGTACTGATGCTCAGGACTTGTTCAACTGAAAACAATTCATTTTATTTAAAATGAATAATAAACAGCATATAGGACATGGAAAGAGAATAGAACAGTTAATACGAACCAGAGAGAAAGAACATAGGGGGAGGGGATGAAACAATCTGGCGGGGCATCGGGGTCGGGTGATGGAGCTAAGGGTAATGGTACAAGGAGCTCTCCCCGTGAGGATGTGGGCTCTGGATGTGGTTCTGGGAGCCCTGCAGGAGCAGGAGGAGGGGCAGGGCCAGATGCAAGAGCAGGGCCAGGGGCAGGATCCACGGTAAGAGCTGGGTCAGGGGCAAGTACAGGAGCACAGGCAGGGCCAGGGGAAGGGGCAGCGGCCCTGGAAAGCAGGGGAAGGGGCATCGGCTCTGGCAGGGGCAGGAACAGGGACACAGGCAGGGGAAGGGGCATCGGCTCTGGCAGGGGCAGGGGCAGGAACAGGGACACTGGCAGGGGAAGGGGCATCGGCTCTGGCAGGGGCCGGAACAGGGACACTGGCAGGGGAAGGGGCATCGGCTCTGGCAGGGGCAGGGGCAGGAACAGGGACGCAGGCAGGGGAAGGGGCATCGGCTTTGGCAGGGGCAGGAACAGGGACACTGGCAGGGGAAGGGGCATCGGCTCTGGCAGGGGCAGGAACAGGGACACAGGCAGGGGAAGGGGCATCGGCTCTGGCAGGGGCAGGAACGGGGACACTGGCAGGGGAAGGGGCATCGGCTCTGGCAGGGGCCGGAACAGGGACGCAGGCAGGGGAAGGGGCATCAGCTCTGGCAGGGGCAGGAACGGGGACGCAGGCAGGGGAAGGGGCATCGGCTCTGGCAGGGGCAGGGGCAGGAACAGGGACACAGGCAGGGGAACGGGCATCGGCTCTGGCAGGGGCAGGGGCAGGAACAGGGACGCAGGCAGGGGAAGGGGCATCGGCTTTGGCAGGGGCAGGAACAGGGACGCAGGCAGGGGAAGGGGCATCGGCTCTGGCAGGGGCAGGAACAGGGACGCAGGCAGGGCAAGGGGCATCGGCTCTGGCAGGGGCAGGGGCAGGAACAGGGACGCAGGCAGGGGAACGGGCATCAGCTCTGGCAGGGGCCGGAACAGGGACACAGGCAGAGGAAGGGACAGGTGCAGGGGCAGGGGGTGGGTCAGGGGCAGGAATGGGCGCACACGCAGGGGCAGGGAAACGGGTAGTGAAAGGGGAAGGAGCTGGGTCAGAGGCAAGGATAGGAGCACAGGGAGGGGCTGGGGAAGGGACAGTTGCAGGGGCAGAAGCCGAGTCAAGGGCAAGAACAGGAATACAGGCAGGGGCAGGAGAAGGGGCAGGATCCAGGGCAGGAGCTGGGTCCGGGGCAAGAACAGGAACACAGGTAGGGGAAGGGGCAGGGGCAGGGGCAGGAGGTGGGTCAGGGACAGGAACAGGACCACAGGCAGGGGCAGGGGCAGAACCCGGGTCAGGGGCAAGAATAGGAGCACAGGCAGGGGCAAGGGAAGGGGCAGGATCCAGGGCAGGAGCTGGGTCAGGGTCAGGATCCGGATCAGGGGCAAGAACAGGTGCACAGGTAAGGGAAGGGGCTGGTGCAGGGTCAGGAGCTGGGTCAGGGGCAAGAACAGGTGCACAGGCAGGTGCTGGGGAAGGGGCAGGGGCAGGGGCAGGAGGTGGGTCAGGAGAAGGGACATTGGCTCTAGCAGGGGCAGGGGAAGGGGCAGGGGAAGGGGCAGGAGTTGGGGCAGGGGCCGGAACAGGAGCACAAGCCGGAGAAAGGGAGGGGGCAGGTGCAAGGGGAGGGACAGGGTCTGCCGCACTGGCACGTACAGGACCCGGGGCAGTATCTGGGTCAGGGGCAAGAACCGGGGCACTGGCAGGGGTAGGGATGGGTCAGGATCCAGGGCAGGAGCTGGGTCGGGCGCAGGAGCAGGGCCACAGTTTGGGGCAGGCGCAGGGGCGGCGGCTCTGGCAGGAACAGGGGCAGGCCCAGGGGCAGGCTCTCCGGAGGCAGGTTGTCCAGCAGGCCCTTCCTGGCCCCCGTCAGGCTCTCCGTGGGCGGGTGCTGGGTCACCTGCCGGCTCCTGGTCTCCTGCTGAAGTCGCAGCCACCTCCCCTCCGTCCAGAGCTGCCGGTGGAGTTGGAGCCGGCTCTAGCTCCTCAGGTGGTGGAGCAGCTGTGAGAGGAGAAAAGCTCACCCCGAGCCTGCTCTCCGTGGAGACAGAACCCAGCCCAGGGCCTCCCAGAGAAGCCGCAGCCAGGAAGGAGCCCTCCCCGGGGCGTCTCCCCGACCGCAGTCCACCCGCTGGGCGCTCTGAGCCCAGTCGTTGCTCCAGGCCCCACACCAGGCTCTGGGGGCTCCTCCCTGTGGGGCCAGCCCCCACCCTTCCACACACACCCACGGGCACCCAGCCCCGGGCTTCTCAGCCTCAGGCTCGGCCTCCGTGGGCTCTGGCTCCTGGAGCACAATGCAGTCAATGACCACCAGGGACAGTGGTCTGGGTGGTGTCGGAGGCCTCTCCCCGCAATCCCCAGCACCTGCTCCAGGGGAGTCCTGTGGGGTCACGCTCCGGATCCCGGACATGGAGTGGGTGTCCGCCAGCCTCGTGCCGATCTCATCGGAGGTCTGCAAAGACAGGGACGGGTAGCCGGCCCGGAGGCATCCCAGTCCTGCCCGGCCAACCTCCCTGTCCCCTGCCCAGTCGCCCTGCTGCTCCCAGATCAGACACACACCTGTGGGTGTACAGCCCTGCACGCGGGACAATGACCCATCCCTGCAGGGCGATCGAGACAAACCCTGGGCAGAAGCTCACAGCCCCCCACACCCCATCCCACCCAGCCAGCCTGGACCTTGAACATGACCTGCCCATGGGTTATCTGACCCCTCATCAGCCTGCTCTTGAATGGCGTTGGCCCACCCCACATGACCCCTCTTCACACACACACACACACACACACACACACACGCACGGAGGGGAGGGAACCTGGGGCTGCACAGGTGGATTAGACCCTGTGGGGCTGGGTGGCCGGCTCTGGGCCTCCTGGTGTCACCTTTCGGGCCTTCCGGCCAAACGGCCAGAGGCGGTGGGGAGCCCTGATCGGACATCCCCAGCGGGGGCCAGCGTTTGCAGGGCGGGCTTTCTTCAGCCTGCAGCATCCAGACTTAGGGAGGCAACAAGCCCACATGTTCATGGTTGGATGATCTCCAATGAAATGAGCTGGGCAGGGGGCTGTCTCTGGAATGTGGGTGCCTGGTTACCTGGGTTCCAAATTCTGTTGGACTCTGTTGTCAGGGAAGTGAGGTCACCATTGCCTGGGGTCCCCTTACCCAACTTCCTCCTCACACAAGACCCCACCCCCGAGGGCCCCCTCCCCCCATGCCCCATCCATACAGTGACTCCCTCACAGCCCACCCACAGCCTTCCCAAGGCCTGGGTGCAGCCGGTGTCCCCGCTGTGAGGACACAGAGCTGGCTTCAGACTGGGCTCCTGTGCGTGCCCAGGGCTGTGACCCTGGACAGACCCTGTGCCTCTCAGGGCCTCCCCAGGCTCCCCATCTGCACAGTGGGGTGTTCTGGCTTCTACTCCTAGGGACGCCATCAGGGGTAGGACCTCTACATACATTCCGTACTTGCTATCACAGGAGGCTGGGGCACACTTGGCAATGTAAGGATGAGCCAGGGGCTGGGCGGGACATGGAGCACAGCTCAGAGGGGCCTGGGTCTGCTCTGGGGTCTGGGCAAAGCCACCCCCTTCTTGCCTGTTCCCAGCCCCTGTGGGAAGGTTGCAATGAACGGATTCCGACCTTGTCCCCTGGTGACGCACACTTCCAGGGGCTCCCATTAGGTTTAGGCTCAGGCCCCGGGGCCTCGTCTGCGCCCATGTGCTGGGCAGTCCCCACAGTGGTTCCCGGGCATTCCCACATCTTGCTCACACATCCCTGTGGAATCCCCTCCCCTCCGGGGTGGATGGCCTGTGTGACCGCGCTCTCAGGAAGAGAATGGGGCAAAATGCTGGGATGTCATTTCCAAGCTGATGGAGGAAAGTCTGTGACTTCTTCTGGTTCCCTCTGTCGTGTGTTCATTCTCTGTCTCCTTATCTCTTTCTGTCTCTGTCTCTGTGTCTCTCACAGGAGCAGGATCTGTGGACTCCAGGGGTGATGTGAGAAACCTCAGAAGCCTCCCTTGTCTGTGTTTCCCTCGTCTGTCCCGGTGCTCCATTCCTTCCTAAGGCCTTGTCACCGGACCAGAGCAGTGAATCTGGAACCTCTTCCAAATGGAGACCCGGAGGCTGCAACAAGGAGGGTCTTGGCCTTGGTCCCCAGACTAGTGGTCAGTGCTCTGCCATGTTCTGCGTACCCAGGTCCTCAGCCCCCCAAGTCCCCAGTCTGTCCCCTGCTCAGAAGGACCTCGAGGGAGTACAAAGCATTTTCCCAGGACTGGGAGCACAGTGGGTCGGGGATGGAGATCCAAGGCCAATAGGCTCTTCCACAAGCCTGTGGGACCCTAGGGACACTGCATCTCTACAGCCCAAGTGACAGAAGAGTAAGCTGAGGCCTTTGTGCTGTAGCCCCTCTGGACTTGGGGGTGGGTATCTCTTCCTGCTTCCAAGTGCCCAGGCTGGTGATGGACACCGGAACCCAGACCCTGTCCTCTCCCAGTGCCCTGGCAACCCTTCGGGGCCCCTTGGGGACCCCTGACCCTCAGCCTGGCCTGTCTCCCCTCCCCATGCTATGGATCTGGGTCCTTGCCAGGAGTCCTGATGCCCTGCCCCATGGCCCAGCTGTCTGCAACCTGTTTCTTCTTTCCCCCCTGTCACCCACCTCGCTCCCAGGGTGTCCTCCCCTTCTGACCCCCAGCTGGGCAGTCAGAGTGGTGTGTGTGTGTGGGGGGGGGGTATGTGCAGCTGCACGTGCCTCTACGTGCCTGGGGATGCCAAGGTCATGTCCCCACATGGAACGGGGTGGGTAGCTCTTCCCGAGGATCTGAGTGGCTCTCACCCCCAAAGCAAACCTCATGGGAGGGTTGGGACTGGCCTAGGACTGGAGAGCAGCTCCTTGGACTCTGCACCCCTCAGTTGTCCTGGGCCAGTCCCTGCCTCTCTTGACCCAGGTTCCCAACTGTCCCTGAGGGTCGGACATGGAAAGGCTTGAACGTGGCTGCTCCTCCAGGGGTAGGTGGGGGACAGGTGCACCAGGCACGCAGGCCTCCCCACCGAGAGGGCCAGCCAGGTGTGTCATGGCCAGGTGTGCACAGACGACCTGCCCACAGCTCCTGTACCATGACCCAGCCCTGCGGCAGATGTGCACGAGACCCATGGCTCCGCACCTGACCGGTTCCCCGCATTCCCTCACCACCTCGGAGACAAGGGTTCTTCTTCGTCCTAGGGCCCGTCATCCTTTGGACAATGAGAGCAGAGGGATCCGTATCTAGAGGAGGCCGGCAGGGCGTCCCACGGAGTGTCGTGTGCCCATCTCTGCTTTGTCGTCTAGGCTTAGCGGCGGACCCCCACCTAGAAAGAGGCCCATGGGGCAGGGACATTTGTCTGCCCTGTTCCCTGAATTATGGAAAATGTCTAGAAGGGGCTTCCTGTCCATGTGTGGAGTCGATGAAGCCCAGCCAGCACCTTTCAGATGTCTGAGTGGCTCTGGGGCCCCTCTGCCAGCCCCCAGGGATCCCTGCTCTGGCTCCACCCAGGATGGGAGCCCCAGATGGAATCTGAAACCTCCTCACAGCCAGGAATGCGGCTTTGCCCCGGACACAGGACACCGAGGCTTGGGGCAGAGAGCTCCTTCACGGTGGAGAGGAACCGCCTCAGCCCCAGGCCACCCTCCCCGTGGGCCGGCCACAGGGTCGGGGAGCGGTCCCAACAGGCCCGACGGCAACCCCGTGTGTGGGGCCTGGCCTCGTGGCACGCAGGGTCCCCAGGAGACACCTGAGGTTCGGAGAGGGGACGTGCCAGGCCTGAGACACACAGCCCGCAGGTGAGGGGGAGCCTCCGGGCGGGACGGGGGGCCCTGCTCACCTTGGTGAGCAGCAGGTGTGGGAAGGGCTGGGGAGGCGTTCCTCTGGGAGGTGCTCCGGGAGAGGGGCCACAGGAGAGGGCCTGGCCCGGCTCCACCAGCTTCCTCAGGCTGTCAGCACGGACCGCCCACAGCCTCTGGCTCGCCCCCAGCGGCAGGGCCCACTCAGGTTCACGGTGGGGCTGATCTTTGGATAAAGGAGGGACAATTCACAACACACAAACTGCAAAACTATTCCTGTCCGTGTCCTGAAGTGCAACAGAATATCCAAATTGGTTCAGATCATCTTCCACGTATGTGAAGGGTGATTTTGTACCTGGCCAAGGCTGGGGCTGGACCGGGTGTGTGTGTCTGTGTGTGAAGGACCAGGTGTGTGTGTGTGTGTGTGTGTGTTTGAAGGACTGGGTGTGTGTGTGTGTTTGGCGTGTGTGTCTGTGTGTGTGGGTCTGTGAAGGGAGCAGCCCAGACCCCTTGGGTTGAGATCATGGCCACGTAAGGGGCACAGCCGTCGTGGCACCCCGGGTCGTCAGTGTCCCGGATGGCGTCGGGGCAGGAGACCCTCCCGGCCCTCCCCGAGCCCGGTCCTGGAGCGCCCTCGTCCCCACACTCCCCCTGAGCCCGCACCAGCCCTTACCGACTGCCTGGTGCACGTGCCCCACGCCGGGGAGCCGTCGAGTGAGGCTCCTGTTGACCAGCTTGTCCCCAATTTCTTCCATGGGGCTCTGCGAAGACAGTGAGCGGCGCCCGGCCCGGAGGCATCACAGCCCTGCCCAGCCGTCCTCACCGTCCTCCTGCCCAGCCCCACTGCTGCCCCCAGATCAGACACAGCCCCGTGCGGGCACAGCCCTGCGCCCGGGGTGCAGTGACATGTATCGACAGGGCTCCGGATCAACCCTGGGGAGAAGGAGGCCGCCCCAGCACACCCCGTCCCACCCAGCCAGCCTTGACCCGGGGTGTCAACATGATCCACCCACCAGGCATCTGGCCCCTCATCACCCTGCTCCTGCTCAGGGTGGGCTACCCTGCCTGAGACCTCTGCACACACACACACACACACACACACACACACACACACACACACACAGGAGGGGTGCTGGGCTGCACGGTCGGATCACAGCGGTGTCTGGCTGGCCTGGCTGGCTCTGGGCCTCCCTGTGTTCCCTTTGGGCCCCTCCAGGCAAATGGCCAGAGGTGTCAGGGGTGGGACCTGACCCCAGGTCTGCAGTGTAGGCAACGGCTCTCACTGTCGGCTTTGCTGAGACCACATCCTGGGGACATCGGGATACAGCAGGATTGCAGCATCTCCAGCCAAGTGAACTGAGTAGGAAGGGGGCTGTCTCTAGAATGTGGGTGCCTGTGACAGCCCTTGGGCATCTTGGGGACGCCCTGGCCATCAGCCTGGCATGTCTCCCCCGAGCCCCATGCTACGGCCCCGGGCATGTTCCCAGGAGACAATGCCCACAGCCCACGGCCCAGCTGCCTCCAACCTCCTCCTTCTTTCCCCCTTGTCCCCTCCAGGGTCCACGCCCCCTTGGACGCCCCTGGGGAGTTTGTGTGTGTGTGTGTGTGTGTGTGCGCGCGCGCACGCAGAGCCTTGTGTGTACGTGTGCCCGCGCGAGGGTGACCAGAGGAAAGGGCCCCACATGGGAGTGTGGGCAGGGGTCCCCCGGATCATAGGGGTCCTCGTTCCCAAAGGAAACCCCATGTGAGGTGAAGCTTGGCCTCGGAAGCTGGAACCCTCCCTGTTCCTCTAGCCTCTGCTCAGCTGGTGGGTCCCAGGCCAGTCCCTGCCTCTCCTGCCCTCAGTTTGCCGACTGTCCCATGAGGGCTTGGAGGAGGAACTTCATTAGCGTGGCTCGGCGTGGCCGGTCGGCTCCCACCTTTTGGGTGGACGTGGCGCAGGTGCACTCTGGGTGGGTGGGGCCCTCCCACCAATGGTGGGTCGGAGGCAGGTGGATCCTGCGCAGGCGCACACGGCCCAGCAGACGGCGCCTGCGTGGGACCCAACCTGCCAGCAGGCCTGCGCAACCCAGAGGGGCTGGCTGTGGCCTTGGTCCTCCGTGTCCCGATCTCCACTGCCTGCTCAGTGACCCTCACGTCCTCTTAGGCCGGGGGCCAGCCCCAGTCCCGCCAGGCAGGGCCGCTGGACTGAGTGGACATGGAGACCTGGGGACTAGAGAGAAATGAAATATACCCCCACTGCCGTCCTGGCCCCCACGTTCCACTTCAGTGTTCATCTCAGTGCATGGCGGGGGGGTCAGGGGAGGGTGATGGGGACACGTGTGGGCAGGGAGGAGGTCAGGCCGCCTTTGCCTCCTCTACATCCCCTCCCCCTGTCTTCCTGGCAGCAGCCCCTCTCCCCAAAATCCGGCACTCAAACACCTTCATCTCCCTGCTTTAAACCCCAACCCATCCTCCTGAGGTGGGAGTCACTGACCCCATCTCCAAAGTAGAAAACAGGTCCCAGGAGTTCCCACAGGAGCTTGCCAGTCACAGGGCTGTGACATGGCCCTGCTGTGGGTTTGAACCCAGCTCAATCTGACCCAAAGCCTGAGCTTACAGAGGAGCCGGAGGAAGTAGCCTTTGAGCCCAGGCTTGGAGGTGAGGCCACCCTGGATGGGGGTCATAGGGAGGGACGGCAGGGGTTCTGAGGGGCAAATTCTTGCCGGGCTCCCTGGGGGACGAAGGCCCTACAGAGGCTGGAGTGGGCTGAGGGGTGCACACTGGGGAGCATGTCTAGACCAGATCACGCAGGGCTCTCTGGATATTGGGCAAGGAGTCAGGGGACACTGCGGGTTGGGGGGTTCAGGGGACACAATCCGGGCAGTCTTACCAGAGTCACAGCATCGTAGATTTAGAAGGAGCTTGGTGGGCATGTTATTGTCCCCACCCAAGCATGGGGATCACCAAGCAAGCACCAGCCAGAGGTGAGGAGGCTGCCGCAGTTTCCTCCTGTGTAGAGTGGGGCCGTGGTGGTCGTCTGCGTCCTTCCAGGCCTGGGCATGCTGCCTGGAAGGTCCAGAGGTGGCTTCGTCAGAGTAGCTAGCTGTTTCAGTGAGGTCAGTACTCAGAGACGTCTGAGTCAGGAGACCAAAGGGACGCCCCACGTGCCCAGGTCAGCAGGATGCTCTTGTACATGGTGCCGATCTTCATGTCCAGGCTGATGGGGTTGAGGCAGCAGCGCCCACCTGCTGCATGGAGAGCAGCAGCGAGGAGCCGTGGTTGCAGACCCCGAGACACGGCGCTCGTGTGAGTCCGAGGCTGCCACAGATGTGATGGAGGCTGAGGAGGGGGAGGTGCTGACAGAGGCTGAGATGATGCCTGAGGTCTGCAGCGACGACTGGGAGGTCAACTCCGGAACTTGAGGAACGGCAAGGCCAGCAGAAACACCAGACTGTGTAAGGCAACCCCGGTCAGCATCTAGCCCAGAAGCTTCTAGAGACTGAGTCTTCTTGGCCCCTTGTGGCTGTGGAGTGGGGATCCAGGCTCCAGGAAGGGATGTCTGTCAGGGAGAAAGGGTGGGACAGTCACCTCCTTTTCCTGGCCATCAGGGATCCTGGGACAAAACCCACACTAATGTCCTCCACATCTACATCGGGCTGGAGGAGCATGCAGAGCGGGTAGGCGATGTCCCTGCTGCGCAGGTAGGGGCTGCATCTGAGCTGGTCCCAGGACTTGGAGTGAGCGCTCCTTTTGGTCTTGGGTGTTGTGTTGGGGGTGCGGTGGCAGAATTGAAGGGCTGACTTTGCATTGATCCGACACCCTGGGTGAATGGGTGCTCTAGGGTGTCCGTGGGCACAGGTGGCTGTGACCCACACATGGGAAGGTGTGAAGGAAGCACACAGAAGACAGTGCCCTGAGCTATGCAGGTTTTCTGCTCATGGGCAGTGCTCCTTGGCAAAATTCAGCTAGTCTGCTTGTTCCTAGAGCACAGAAGGCCCCTAAGGTCGTGAGTGGTTCATGGGAAGTCAGGTCAGTCTGTTGCTGGGCATCATGCCTGGCAGGAGGAGAGCTTCAGCCTGAAATGACGGTCTGGGGGTGACCTGGAATGCCAGGTGAGGTAGAAATTGCCCAGGTAGCCTGATCCACTCCAGTCTGTATTGCTTCTCTACCCAACAACCCAGACCTAGACAATGGCCCTCTGGCTGGCTGGCATCTGGAACAGTTAGAATGTTCCTCTGGTTCAGTCGAAGAAGAAGATCAAAGTTAGTAGAGCAAAGGAAACTATGAAGATTAGGGCAGAGATAAATGGAAGAGAAGAGCATGTGAGAAAAATCAGTGAAAACAACAGTTCTTTCTTTTGCAGATTTACCAAAATTGACAAAGAGACAAAAATGGAACCACTTTATACCAACCAGTTGGCTCCCTGAGATGAAGCAGATCATTCTGAGAAGCACACAAACTACCAAAGTGACTCCAGAAGAAATGGAAACCCTGAGCAGACCTCTAATAAGTAAATAGACTGAAGCAGTCATGAGAACTTCCCAAGAATGAAAAGTCCAGAACCTGATGCTTTCCCTGGTGATTTGGCCCACACGTTTAAAGAAGACATAATACCAATCCTTCTGAAAGTCTGAAAAAAGTACAAGAGGAGGGAACACTTCCCACGTCACCCTAGAATGCCAGCATTGTCCCGATTCCAAAGACTGACAAAGACCTTACAAGAAAAGACAGTTGCAGGCCAAAATCCATTATGAAGAGCGAGGCAAAAATCCTCAACAGAATTCTAGCGACAGAATCTAGCAGCACATTGACAGGACTCTACATCATGACCAAGTGTGATTTACACCGGGAATGCAAAGGCTGTTCAACGTAGCTAATCAGTGTCCTAGACCACATCCAGAAGAAACATGATCATGTCAATTGTTGTAGGATAAGCTTTGACAAAATCCAAACCTTTTCATAACAAGTATTCTCAATAAAATAGAAATAGAAGATTCAGTTGTGATAAAGGAAAGGTCCCTGGGTGGCTCAGTGGGTTGAGTGTCCGACTCTTGGTTTGGGCTCAGGTCATGATCTCAAGAGTCTTCAGATTGAGCTCCAGGGAGGGCTCTGCACTCAGTCGGGAGTCTGCTTGGAGATTCTCTCCCTCTGCCCCTCCCCACTCTTGGGTTTGCATGCTCTCAAATAAATAAATAAATAAATAATTCTTTAAAAATTATGATAAAGGATATTTATGAAAAATAACTCATATGTATATCATTCTCTGTGGTGAAAGACTGGGAGTTTTCTCCTTAAAATCCCCAAAAAGTCAAGGATGCCCATGTCCACCACTTCATTTCAATATTGTCATGGAAGTTTGGTCAGAGAAATTATACAAGATTAGTTACTAAAAGCTCACAAATGGAAAGGAAGAAGAAAAAGGTTATTTATATATGACATGATCTTCTATGCAAATAATCCTAAGAATTTGAAAAACTCTGTATGAGATTATAATATTTCCCGAAAGGTATGAGCAGAGAAGGCCAACACATATGGATCAATGGAATACTGCTGAGAATCAAGGAATACATACATGTACAGTCAGTTGTTTTCGAACACGGAGAGCAAGATCATTCAATGAGGCAAAAACAGTGTCTCCAACAAACGGTGTTGAGAAACCGGATATCCACATACGAAGGAGTGAAGTCAGAGCATTCCCTTCCACCATATAAAAAATGAACTCCACATGGGTCCAAGAATGAACTTTAAGAGCGAAAATTCTTAACACTCAGAAGGAAACTAAGAGCACTTAGGGGCAGATCTTCCTTCCCTTGGATTTGGCAATATGGTGTCTCTTGTATGGCACCCGAAGCCCAAGCAACAACAGAGAAAACAGAGACACTGGACTTCAACGTTGCTAAAAACTTTTGTGAACAAAAGGGTAATCTCAAGAGAATGTAAAGAAACCCAAAGAATGGTAGGAAATATTTGCAAATCTCATACGAGTCTTGCATCTAGAATGTGTACAAAACTCCTACAACTTAAGAACCTAAACAACCCCACTGAAAATAATAGACATTTCTCCAAAGAAGATAGTCAGACGACCCAGTGAGCACATGGGGCGATTTTCCTCATGAGATCGTAGGAAATGCAAGCCAACACCACAGTGACATGCCTTCCCCCACCCAGGAGGAGGGGCTATAGTGAATAAGCAGAAATAACAAGTGTTGGAGAGGATCTGGGGAAACAGAACCCTCCTCCATTGCTGGGGGAGATGTAATATGGCGGAGCCACTGTGGCAAAGGGTGTGGCACGTCGTCCATACGTTGAGCATACTGTTCTCATTTGGCCGAACTCCACTCATTCTCTAAACAGAAGAATGGAATACAGGCCCTCTAACAACAGCCTGCACGGAAGTATTCGTAGCAACACTCTCGACAATAATCGAAAGATGAAAACAACCCACAGGTGCATCCACAGTTGAATGGACAAACACAACGTGGTCTGTTCATACAATGGGATTCATTCAGCCACGCCAGGAATGAAGTAGTGATACACGCTATCACGTGGGTGAACTTCGAAAACATCCTACTCAGTGGAAGAAACTAGACCCCAAATACCACATACGGTATGATCCCACGTGTATGAAAAATTCGTCCCAGGTAAATGACAGGTGCCAGATCAGTGGTTGCCTGGGAGCAGGGGGATGGGGAATGACCAGTGACTGCCTGCTCACAGGGTGCGGGGTTTCTCTCCAGGGCATTAAATGTTCTGGGACTAGATAGGGTGATGGTGCCAGCATGGGAAATGGAGTTGATAACAGTGGTTTGCACACTTTGAAATGTTTAAAAAGATAAAGTTTATTTTATGTTAAGCTACAAATATACCTGGAAACATGAAAAGAAACAAAAGCCAAAAGAGAAGAAAAGGAATGCGTTCGCTGGTGAGGACAGGCCGACTCTGGTGCTGGAACTGGCCCTGGTTGTAGCTCATCAGCTGCTCCGGGAGGTGGGGCCGGAGCTGGCTGTAACTGGTGCTGGATTGGGTCTCGCTCCCACTGGCCCTAGCTCTGCAGGGGGAGCCAGCGCTGGCTCCAGGTCGGAGGTGCCGCCGGAGCTGACTGTGGAGCCGATCCAGCTCAGTCTTGCCTTGGCTCTAGCTCTGCAGTCGGTGATGGAGCCGTAGGTCCAGGGGCTTCCTCCCACTGGGGCGCACGTGGCTCCAGCTCCTGAGCTCCTGGCGAAGGCCCCGCACCAGGAGATGGAAATGCCTCGAGCTCTGCAGCGGGCTTTGGGTCTGTAGCTGCTTCTGCAGCCACGTCGACTCTGCAGCGGTGACCGGCCCCGGGGCAGAGGCCAGTTCTCCATCTCGAGATGGTGCCGAAGCAGCAGGAGGGGAGAAGGTCACCACCCTGCCAGGGTGATCACCCTGTGCTGATCCCCACAGCCCGTCCCTGTGCCTTGTCAGAGGAAACCGGCCTCCCCCAGCAGCGCTGAGCTGCCTCGAGACCTGGCTCTCGTTCTCGGGCTGCCTCTCACTCTGCCAGTGGTGCCGGATCGGGTGGGAGAACTGGTGTGGAGGTGGCTCTGCTCTGGAATTCACCCCGGAGCTGCTTTTGCCTCCGGAGGGGGACCGCGTGTCGGAGCTGGAGGGGCTCTAGTCTGCGGGGCCCTGGCTCAGGCTCTCGAGCTACTTCCACGGCTGGCTCGAGTCAGCGCTGGGGCACGTTCTGGTGCGTCAGATGGTTCTAGATCTTAGCTGCCCCACGGCTCGTGCAAGGTCTCGTGCTCGAGGTGCTCTAGCTCTGTACCGCCCACTTGCTGACCGTGGGTGAGATGCTGACCCACCGGTTAGGCTGGGAGCTCCGAGGGCAGGGAGGGTGTCTGGGGGTCCCCTCTGCATTCCAGCGAACAGACACAGGTGTGGATGATGCACGCGTGGAAGAAAGCGTGAACACAAGAGTCTGTGGCCCAGACCTCTCATCTGTAACAACATCCCCCGCATCCCGGGGCTGCTGGGGGATCCCACCGATTCACTAAACTGTGAAGTACTACCACTTCCCAGGCACTGTTCTGGGGGTTGGGGACCCAGCGGTGAGGAAGCACGGTCCCTGGTCGCGTGGGGCTGGCCGGAGCAGAGGTCAAACGAGGACTTCAGGTCCCCGGCAAGTGTCTCTGCTCAGCTGGGGGCAGCTGCCGGGAGCAGCGGGTCAGGCCCTTGTCCCCGTCTGGCAGCTCAGGACCGACCCGCGTGGGGCGCGTGGTGAAGGCGATGCAGGATCCTTGGTCTGAATCCCCCCGTAGCCATTACCCCCATGTAGCCGGTCCCGTCACCATCCCGAGTTTTGCATCCATGAAGTGGGCAGGGGAGGAAAGCCGTTCGTGGGTTCAAGAGCCCTATCCAAGTGCGGAACAGGGTCTAGATCATCTCTGGAGGGGGATTCAGCTCCAGCACCTGCCCCAGAGCTCGAGCCAGGTCCTACACCGATGCGTGCCGCAGCTCCCGAGACTGGGGCAGCTGCAGCTTCAGCTCTCGCGCCAGCTCTGGGATCAGAGCCCAGTTTGGAGCTTGAGCAGCTCCAGCACCAGCTATGGAACTCGCCAGCCAAGGGCCAGCACCTTCACCGTCACACCCTCGCCATCGTGCACGAGGTCAGGAGAGGGGCTGGGGGCGGGAGGGTCCCTGCTGGGCAGGTCACCCCGGGTACCTTGGTCACTCTACTCAGAGCTCCCCCTCCCCACCCCTCCCACAGGTCACAGCCCCAGGGATCCCCACCCCTGCTTCCCAAACAAGGCTCAAGGTGGACAAGCAGACCTGGGATGTTGGAAGTTGAGGCTTGTACCTTCAACACTGTATACGTGTTGACCCAGAAACTCCACTTTAAGGATTCTGTTGCAAATAGAGGTTGATGGACACGGTGTTCCCTTCCTTCAACAGGGTGGGAGTGAGCTGCCCACGCTAGGTGATGGGTGCACCTGTGGCCTGGGATGGGTGCTGCTCACTGTTCTCCCAGACAGGGGTGCCCGTCACCCTTCTCTCCCGGGGACCTCCGTTTCCTCACATTCTCGCCAGGGCTGCTGGTCCCCAGACCAGACACCTGCCAGTCTGAGGGTGACCAGTGCTGCCTCCATAGGGTTTCCTTTGCCAGAGTCCTTCCCCGGGAGCTCCTGCATCTCTGACTCCCCCCATGCCTGTCCCCCTCCCCTTGGACTTGCATGCATTTCGTCTCTGTCCCTGTGGAACCCAGTGACTTGGAGCATGGTTTGGACCAGAGGCATGGGAAACCTTTCTGTGGCCTTAGGTTGTCAGCAATGCTTTGGCCCTTTGGGGTGTGTCTTCCAGCTTTCTGCATTTCCCTGGTTTCTCTGTGGGTCACAGGAGGAACCAGCCCTTTCCTGTCTGGGGTCAGGCTGAGGTGTCCCAGCAGGA